GTCTTTGGCAATATGCTAAGGGCTTTAATGGATAAAGTAGGAGGTATGCAAGAACAGATGGGCAATGTGAGCAGAGAGGTCACAAACCTAAGAAAGAACCAAAGAAACACCAGAAATAAAAACATTGTAACAGAAGTTTTAAAAAAATGTCTTTGATGGGTCTTTTAGTAGACTGGACATAGCTGAGGACCGAATTTCTGAACTTGAGAATATATGAAGAGAAACACCTAAAACTGAAAAACACAGGGAACAAACACAAAAACACATAAAAAATAAATTTTAACAAACTGCTATGATAACCAAAAAGGAATATTGGAATATTTCATATTGGGAATACAAGAGGATACAAAGAATAAAACCAAAGCAATATTTGAAACAACAATGCTTAAGTTCATATAAGACACCAAACCACAGACCCGAGAAGCTCAGAGAACACCACCACCAGAATAAATGTCAAATAAATAAATAAGAAAATAAATAAACTAAACCTAGACACATTATTTTAAACTGCAGTACATGAAAGCTAAGAAAAATTATGAAGAAAGCCAGAGGTAGATACAAATCATACCAGTAGATAGTCAAAGGTAAGACTTATATTAGACTTCTCCTCAGAAGCCAGGCAAGCAAATAGAAAGTAAAGTTAAATCTTTAACATGTTGAGAGTAGAAAACACCAGATGATAATCATATACTTTGTGAAATTGTTCTTTAAAAAAAAAAAATTATTTACAGTTGTGGGGTACCATTCAGGGCTAGATATACAAATATTCACCATGCAGGTACCCTTATCGATGAGGCGCGCCCCCCCCCCTTTCCCAGGCAGATATCGACTTCTGTCAATCCACCTCCCTACTCCTCCACCCCCACTCTGTGCAGTTTCCTGCTACTTTCATTCCTTTTCTTATAGTAATACGGTAGTTGTTAAAGGTTCACTTATGAGTGAGAAGATGAGATACTTGTTGGGAGCCAGCCTTGGAGGCCCACGACCCTCGCCGGGCGGGCCCCCGCAGATACTAAGCTCTTTGTTTTTGTGAGAGATCACTCAGTATTATAAATTCTAATTCCATTCAGGTTGCTGCAAAGTTCATGATATTGTTCTTTATGGCTGCATAGTATTCCATTGTGTATAGTCATCAAGGAGACACAAATGAACTACATGAGATACCTAACCTAACTCCAGTCAAACTGGCCATCATCAATAACTCAAAAAATAACAGATGCTGGAGAGTATGAGGCGAAAAGGGAACGCTTCTACACTGTTGGTGAGAGTGCAAACTCATTCAGCCTCTGTGGAAATCAGTGTGGCAATTCCTAAAAGTTCTAAAAAGTTCCATATGACCCCGCGATCCCCCTACTGGGAATATACCCGGAAGAACTCAGGTCACTCTATGAAAAAGATACCTGCACACATATGTTTATCGCAGCATTGTTCACAATAGCAAGAACATGAAACCAACTGTGCTGCCCATCAAAAGAGGACTGGATAAAAAAGTGAAATTGTTCTTTAAATGAGGAAGAAATAAAGACTTTGTCAGACAAACAAAAATTGAGGAAATTTTTTGTTGCCACTAGCCCTGCCTTTCTAAGATGTTAATAAAAATTCTTTAGAGAGAAGGTAAATAATATAACTCAGAATCTCAGATCTACATAAAGGAAGATCATCAAGTGAGAAGAAAGTAAAAGCAAAATAAAATTTTTTATTTTTATTTTTAATTATAATAACATAACAATTTAAAAAGAAAATAACAGTAGCAACAATGTATTCAATTACCGTCGTTCCCTTTTATCCGCAGATTCTGCATCTGTGAATGTGACCAATCATGGAATAAAAATATTCAAAATGAAACTCAAAAATAAAAACACACCATTAGAAACAATAATAAATCAATAGAGAATAACAACTATTTCATAGCATTAATGTTGTATTTGGTGCAAATAATCTAGAGATGATTCAAATTAGATAGCCTATGTATAGTTTATATGCAATACTACACTATACTATATAAGGGACATGAATGTATATTGATTGATTAATTGATTTTTCTTTATTTTAAAGATGTGGGGTACAATTCATGGTTAGATATACAAATGTTCATTATGCAGGTACCCTGTTGATGAGGCGTGCCCCTCTCTTTCCTGGCAGTTTCCCTCAACTAACAACTCCACCCTCCCTCCCCTGGAAGTTTCCCACGACTGCCAATCCCTTTCTCATAGTATTATGATAACTGTTCAAGGTCCACTTATGAGTGAGAACATATGGTACACTGTTTTTGTTTCTGTGATAGATGACTGAGTATATTGATTTAAATCTCTGTTGGGAATCCAGAATTCAGTCCCCCATGGATATAGAAAAATGATTATGTTTGTGTATACACTGAATGTATGAAAATCTATATGTATGTGTGTGTGTGTATACATCCTCTGTATGCTTATACGTATGCAAAATTAATGGGAGCCAGGATATAAGAAAAGGAGTGGGAATTAGGATTATTTTGTTTATTTAAAATCCACTGCCCATTAAACAATACAATGTGTGCATAAGTTAGTTGTAAAAGTATATGGCAAACTCCAGAAAAGTCATTTAAATAACAACAAAAGAAGTACACTTGCTATGCTATAAAAAAAGAAAAAATACATTCATAAAATGCTCAATATCACAAAAGGAAGGAAAATAGCATGAGACAAAAACAGAAACAATTAACATGGGCAACAAATAGAAAACAGTAACAAGGATGGTAGATATTAATCCAACTACATCAGTATCACTTTGAACACTGCTATTGTTTGGATATAGCTTGTTTGGCTCCACCAAGTCTCATGCTGACATTCAATCTCAAATATTGGAAGCTGGGGCTAGTGGAAGACGTTTCAGTCCTGGCAGCAGGTCTTGCATAAATGACTTAGTGCCATCTGGCAAGAGGGAGTGCTCAGTCTTAGTTCCTGGGAGAATTGGTTGTTGAAAAGACAGTGGCACCTTCTCTGCTCTCTATCTTGCTTCCTCTCTCATAATATGATCCGCACCCAATTCCTCTTCACTTTTCACCATGAGTGAAAACTACCACAGAATCTCATCAGAAGCAGATGTTGGTACCAGTCCCAAGTATTTGTTTATATCCAGTTGAGGTGTTACATTGTAGCGACAAAAAATGGACTAAGACAAACTTCAATGGCATAAATACACCAATAAAACAAAGGAGATTGTTAGAGTGAGTAAAAAACATGACCCAACTATATGTTCCACAAGAAACCAACTTAAACTATAAAGACACACATAGATAACACATAAAGAGTAAAACGATGGAAAATAATATTCCACGATACCACTAACCAAAAGGAAACCAGGTAGCTATGCTAATTTTAGACACAGAGGACATTAAAACAAAGAAGGCATTAAGGGGTAAATAATGCACTAACATATAATGATATAACATTATAAAGAGGTTGCTTCTCCAGAAAGATATAATTATCTTTAATGTGGATATACCTAACAAAAGAGCATCAAGTTATGTGAAGTAAAAACTGACAGAATTTCAAGAGGAAATAGTTGAGTCCATAATAAAAATTGAAAATTAGTCAGGCGTGGTAGTGCACATCTGTAGTTCCAGCTACGTAGAAGGCTGAGGCGGAAGGATCACCGGAGCCCAGCAGGTCAAGGCTGTGGTGGCCAGGAGCGGCCACTGCACTACAGTCTGGGTGACAGAATGAGACTCCAACTCAAAAAAAAAGAAAAAAAAAAAAAAAATTGAAATCTTCAACACCTCTTTGTATAAAATGGATTGGTCCAGCAGGGGTTAAAAATCACTAAGCATTGGCCGGTTAGGTGGCTCAGCCTGTAATCTCAGCACTTTGGGAGGCTGAGGTGAGTGGATTGCTTGAGCCTATGGGTTCAAGACTCGCACAGGCAACTTGGTGAGACCTCATCTCTACAATAAATCAAAAATTAGCCAGGTGTGGTAGCGCATGCCTGTGGTTCTGGCTACTTGGAAGGCTGAGGTGGAAGGATCGCCAGAGCCCAGCAGGTCGAGGCTGCGGTGTCTGGGAGCATGCCACTATACTCCAGTCTGGGTGACAGAGTGAGACTCCAACTCAAAAAAAAAAATCACTAGGCACATAGCTGAATTCAAAAACACAATCAATCAACTAGAGATAATTGACATCTATAGACTACTTTATCCACTGAAGTAGAAAACACATTGTTCACAAGCTCACACGGAACATTCATCAAAGTTGACCATGTTCTGGGCCATAAATACACCTTTAAATATTTAAAAGAGGCCGGGCTCGGTGGCTCAGCCTGTAATCCCAGCACTTTGGGAGGCTGAGGTGAGTAGATTGCCTGAGCCAGCGGGTTCGAGACCCGCCTGGGCAACTTGCCAAGCCCTCATCTCTACAATAAGTCAAAAAAATCAGCTGGGCGTGGTAGCGCGCGCCTGTAGTTCCGGCTACTCGGAAGGCTGAGGCGGAAGGATCGCCGGAGCCCAGCAGGTCGAGGCTGCGGGGGCCGGGAGCGGCCCCTGCACTCCAGTTTGGGTGACAGAGTGAGACTCCAACTCAAAAAAATAAATAAATAAATAAATAAATAAATAAATTTAAAAAGAATAATAGTCAAACAACGTCCACTCTCAGACCATAATGGACTCACACTAGAAATTAATAACAGAAAGTTTGCTGGCAAGTCTCTAAATATTTGGCGATTAAACTGCATACTTTTAAATAATAAAATGGTCAAACATGTTAGAAAAATTTTAAAAATATTTTGAACTGGGAGGCAAGGGCTCGGCCGCCTCGGAGGGGGGCGCGGCGGCGGCGCCTCCGCCGCCTTGGAGAAGGCCGGGGCTCGCCCCAGGCACTGGCAGTGCGATGTGGAATGGCTGCCGGTCGGACAGCAGCAGCAGCCACAGCTGCCCAGACCTGGGCGATGCCTCAGCAAAGTCTAGCTTCGAGCTCCGTGTGGAGAGCAAGCTGCAGACGATGGGATCCACAACCTCCGGGGGTGATAAGGAGACATTCGAAAATTACTATAGAAAACAAAGAAAGAAACAAGCAAGACTGGTATTGCAGCCTCAGTCAAGTATGCATGCAACAGTTGATGGCTATAGAAGATATTTCACTCAAATTGTAGGGTTCTTTGTGGTAGAAGATCACATTTTACATGTGGCCCAAGGATTAGTCATCGTATTGCATTGATACTAATCTTGTTCTGGAGCTGAAGAATCTTATTTAATATTTGCAGATACTTTGCAGGGTTACGGTTTTCCAGGGAACCGACTTTTTGACCTTTTATTTAAAATAAGAGAGCAATACAATGAAACACTGCTTAAGAAATGGGCTGGAGTTTTCAGGGATATTTTTGAAGAAGATAATTATAGCCCAATCCCTGTTGTCAATGAAGAAGAATATAAAATTGTCATCAGTAAATTTCCCTTTCAAGATCCAGACCTTGAAAAGCAATCTTTCCCAAAGAAATTCCCTATGTCTCAGTCAGTGCCTCATATTTACATTCAAGTTAAAGAATTTATTTATGCCAGCCTTAAATTTTCAGAGTCACTTCACCAGAGCTCAACAGAAATAGATGATATGCTTAGGAAATGAAGAAATCTGCTGCTGACGAGAACTTTGAATAGCTGTTTACTGAACCTTATTAGGAAACCTCATATAGGTTTGACAGAGCTGGTGCAAATCATCATAAACACAACACACCTGGAACAAGCTTGTAAATACCTTGAGGATTTTATAACTAACATCACAAATATTTCTCAAGAACACAAGGCTTTATGGGCTTTCTACTTTTAAGGATGCTCGACATGCAGCTGAAGAAGAAATATATACCAAACTGAATCAAAAAATTGATGAATTTGTTCAGCTTGCTGATTATGACTGGACAATGCCTGAACCCAATGGAAGAGCTAGTGGTTATTTAATGGACCTTATTAATTTTTTGAGAAGCATCTTTCAAGTGTTTACTCATTTGCCTGGGAAAGTTGCCCAGACAGCCTGCATGTCAGCCTGCCAGCATCTGTCAACATCCTTAATGCAGATGCTACTGGACAGCAAGTTAAAACAAATAAGCATGGGAGCTGTTCAGCAGTTTAACTTAGATGTCATACAGTTTGAGTTGTTTGCCAACTCTGAACCTGAGCCAGGATTCCAGGGAGATACCCTGCAGCTAGCATTCATTGACCTCAGAAAACTCCTTGACCTGTTTATGGTGTGGGATTGGTCTACTTACCTCGCTGATTATGGGCAGCCAGCTTCCAAGTACCTTCGGGTGAATCCAAATACGGCCCTTACTCTTCTGGAGAAGATGAAGGATACTAGCAAAAAGAACAATATATTTGCTCAGTTCAGGAAGAATGATCGAGACAAGCAGAAGTTGACAGAAACAGTGGTGAAGCAGCTGAGAAGTTTGGTGAATGGTATGTCCCAGCACACATAGACGTCACATCACTTGCACTTA